GAATCATTACTTATAAAATTGTGAGTTTAAATTCTAACTGATATGATAACCTTATTAATGGGTGATTTGTAAATACCTCTATAAGTGTTTTTTGAGTCTAGAGGCATGTCCTGACCCTGATGAGTTTCCGAGATCCAACTCACCTACATTTTTTAGTATAAAAAAAAGTGGCTTTTGTTCTTTTAAGTGATAGATGTTTGTATACTAAATTAATATCAAGTTAGAAGCACAAGTGAGCATGGCTGTGGATCTCCACATTTAGCTATAACGAGGAGTATTTTTGTCATTTGGAAAGTATCGTGTGTAGATAATGCTAATTTTACTCCCCTTTTTTTTTCTTCCAATTTTTATTGTACTTCCCTTATCTCCCTCCATCTCTATATGATACACTCTTTTCTATCTTTCTTATAGAAGCTTTTTAATAGTCCTTAATGTGACCTTTTGTCTAAAACATTATTATTATTTTTTAAGTATCACACTTGCTTTGATATTCCTTAGCAAACTATCAACTTTATTGAGGGTATCTTTAATACTTTAAAAGCATTAATTAAGGTTAATTAAATATTTTCTTGGTAAAAGAACAACATAAAATGAAGACTTTTGTGGGTTAAAGTCAAACTTCCCAAACATAGTGTTATCTGAAATTAGAAAAGGGAAAAAGATGATGGAATACTACAACCCACACCAACCCAAGAAAAAGAGTAAAAATAAAGTTTGTTAGGGTTAAGAGTCATGTCTAAAAGTTAAGAAAGGTATTTACAAAAATGCTCTTGATCAATCTGGATGATTATTAACCTTATAATATAATTACTTAGCATTAAAAATTATAATCCAGTTATTAATTTTGACCAGCTAATTCATGCAGAAGTTCTAATAATATTCTTGTTAATGAACCATTATAAAGTGTTTAACTTCACTGCTTGCTTTGAAAGTCTCAGTGGAAATTGCTTTATGGTTGATAGTCCTAAAATGATAAGAATAACAATTCTTTCTGAGGTGGGGAAAACGAACGTGGACCTTATCGTAAATCACATTGTTCATGGCGAGGTTGGACTAATTTGAAATTTTGCTTATTGGAATGACTTTTTTGAAATTTCAATTTTCAGATGGTCCTTTATTAGGATTTCTCTTTTTATTTATCAAACGATTAATGCAGTTTTCCTTTCCTAATTGTTTTTTCAATTGGGAAATTAATTTGTACCTACCCCGCAGCTCCTTTCACACATGTCATTCTTCCCCGTGGGGTCCATCTGACGTTCTAGAAGAGCTCAGCCACGTCAGCTTTCCGTATTAAGCACAAGAAAAGTTGTATCTTGGATTTATTTGCCGACTGATTTTTTTTTTTTCATAATTTATGTAGTTTTATCATGCTTCACTCTTTATTATAATGATCTAAAAATAATTTTATATAAACTATTAAAATTATTAATTTTTTTGTAAAATAATAAAAAAATTCTCCATAAATATTATTAGTTAAAAAGTTTGATTAATTAGTGAGGAAAATTTTCAGTTAGTTAAATATATTAGATGGAAAAAAATTAATATTTCAAACAAAATATATTATATTATAGAATATATTACAGATCCTTAATTGAATATATTTATCATGCTTGAGAGACTGAGATGCCGAAGTATTAACTAATTGAATATCTTTATCATGCTTGAGAGACTGAGATGCGTTGAGATGTCATCAAATAAAAAAATTTATTAATTTATTTGATACATTAAATAAAAATAGAAGTTTCTTAATTAATTATTAATGGTTGATGATCTCGAATGGCATTGAATAAGATAATTAAAATATAATCAAAGATAAGAACCTGCGTGAGTTGGCACTAGGCCTCTCCATCCCTTCTAAGACAATTAATCATGTTTAATAAATATATATTGATTTACCTAAAATGTTCTCTTTAATAATTACCACGAATTGTGGTAGTGAGTTTAGTAGGCTACTTTTTTTTTTTTTTTTAACTTATGGTTTGAGTGGTTTACACTTGTTTGAGTCCCAAAATTTCATTTTATTCTCATTTATACTGTTCTTTTTTTTTTCACTAGAAACTTTGTAATTTAGCCATCATAATTATTATTATGAATGGATAATAATATTTATGCCATTCCGCTGATTAAGACGTGGAAACCTATGAAGCAAACATCGTTGTTCCTTTTTTAATTTTTATGTTGTAATGGATAATAGTTATGTCATTTCGTTTGTTGCTTTTTTTTTGCCCGATTAATTCATTAATAATATTCACGTTCATTAATAAAATATTTTTCTTGGGATGATGAAGACAGTGATAGACAAGAGAGTCATTGGCAAAGATCACGATCTTTAGTGGGGATTAATTAATTAAGATTATAAAGTCACAATTTCTTCAATAACGAACTTATATTTAATTGGAATATAAATAAAATAATAGATTCGACACCTAATGGAGACAGCAAAATATGTAATTTTTTTAACCTATTAAACTCTAATTATTCTGAACTGTCGATTTGGTCATGTGTTGAGCTGTTTGTGAGCCTTTTGTTTTATTTTACCAATTGTTTAGGAGGTGACGCACCAAGCACTGCATAATAATAATCATCCGTTTTTTAAAAAAAAAAACAGTAATAATTACTATTAGGCTTGTGATTATCAATAACATCATAATTATTTGTTATTTAATTGACCCTACTTCTCTTTTAAGCAGGTAGCTGTACATGTGAAGAAGGAAGAAAGAAAAGGGCACGAGAAATTATGTAGTTGCGGGGTGTGATCTGTGTAAAACTATTAAAACAAGTTAAGCGAGTAAAATGAGCTAACCCTTCATAGCTGTACATATGAAGAAGTAGCTGTACTAATTGGGCTAACTCATTTATAATTCATCTGTTTATGAGTTTTTGGATTAATTTAATAATATAATTTCATAAAAACAAAAAAAATGTATAATTTAATTTTAAAAAATTAATAGTAGTACGTAGTATAGTAGATTTGGCTAGCTGGAAGCAGGCTTTTTAAGCCTAAGCTGTCATTTATAGCTCGTGGCGGATTGTGACTTGAGTTATAGTATCACCTCTAAAAATTAATATTCCTTCAATCTTTAATATAAGACTTATTTAACTAATTTGATTAGAATAATAAAGTTAAATAAATTAGTTAATTATAAGAAAAATAACATGTTTTTTCTAAAACACTACAATCATCTTTCTTAATATCCTCTCTCCTTTTCTACTTAATCATGATTGAGGGAGTATCCATAAAGATAATTTAGGAAAAACTGATAAATATGAGAAATATGTCTTATATTTAGAACCAAAATCAACTCAATAATTAGGTCCTATATCAAGGACCGAAAGAGTAATTTTTTTTTTCAAATACATAGGGTTATAAATTTTTTTAACATATTGTCTGCCAAGCCAGAAAAATCATAAAAAATGTTCCTCTTAATTCTTAATAAAACTTGGGGATACTTGATACTTTTGACTTAGCAGTAAGCACGAACAAATTCTAGTTGATTTGATTCCAAACCAACTGATTGTGTCTGATTCTGATATGATTAAAATAACCAAAATTAGTTTATTAACCCGACTATTAAAACTTTAGGAAGGGAAAGGACATATCCTAGTCTCAAAGACATGTATATTCTAGAACCTAAAATGTATTTTCGTCATTTACACTTTAAAATTTCAAACTTAATTTTCATGCTAATACATATTACGTCATCTTGAATATTTATTTATTTATTTAGAATATTACATGATTAAGTTCTTTTAAGACTATTTCAGAGTTGATACTATGTGTGTTTTCTGATGCTTAAGACATGTTTAAGACATAAAATTATAAAGTAAATTCAAATGTTGAGTTTACTTTTATTACTCTTCCGGTTTTAAATATAAGATCCATTTTGTAGTGTAATTTACACTACAAAATAGATCTTATATTTAGGATCGGAGGAATATTAAAGAAGTATTAAACATATACTTACATATGGTAGATATGAAAATGCTGCATATTAATTCAAAGAAGTTATAAATAAGAACATAAAGCATAACAACACTCCCTCTGTTTACTGTATATTTTAAGCAGTTTTGAAACATTCCAGTCCTTAGAACATAGACCAGTGTAATTAACTAATATTTCTAGAACATTCTATTATAGTCTTTCTAAATATAACCTGTTAAATACATTTGATTCTCTCCATGCTCATCAAAGCATATGATTATCATTATAATGAAATCGAAACCATCTAAAATTTGATATCAACACTCAAGATTTCAAATTTTTAATCCGTACCTCTTTTTTTTTGCAATGATAAATTTATTTTTTTAAGAGGTGTCAATTATAAGATTATCTTTATTTTGAATTATGTATCTATTAAACTTAAAAATATTTAAAATATAAAAAATTAAATTAAACATTTACCATCTAAAATGAATTTAGATAGTTTAGATTACAATGAGCATGGAATGTATTCACAATTCGCTTAATAAGAGTGAACCAAATAAATGGGTGAGATAAAAATTTTTTTTTATTTGTTAGGGTATTTTAAGGACGGACATATTAATTACACTTAATATGTGGCAAAATACTTATAATTGCTTTATAAAAGTAAATGGAGGAAGTACTATTAAAGGTTTTATCTGTGCAGCAACATGAATAAAAAGAACCCAAAAAAAAAAAAAACTACAAGGAGACCGTAGAAGATGCAAACAACAATTATTGCATTATACTGTCAACCAAACGACCATTGCAAAGCTTTTTGTTTGTTGGTCTTTTCACCAAGAAAAAGGAAAAACAAGAAGAAGAACACTTTCCAATATAACAACCATCTTAAACGAAGGCCTATTTGCCAACACACCCAAAAAACCATTGTCCCTTTTCTCACAAGAAAAGTGACAGAAAACAGGTACTTAGACGTCAAAGTGTTAGTGGATCTGGCTTGGCGTGTGAAGGAGTCCCACTTCGGATAGAGTTGGGTTAAAAAAAGAGGCATATAGATGCAAAGCACCCATATGCCTCACAGCTGACACTTTCCCAACACTTTCCTCCTTCCGGGGACCCAACACCTGTGGAAAAAACTCACAGCAGACGTTCATGGTGTTTATGGTCTAAGATGCCCGACACAACAAGCCTTGTAAACAACATATATATAGTTGAACTTCTATCTTTTGGTATGAACTGAACGTGCAACTTCTTCACATGAAAGATTCAAAGGCTGAGCGTAGGCTGCTTAGAAGCTCCTTCAACTTCATGCAAAATTCCTTATCCATCTGTTTATTGCAGAAAGATAATTAAGAATATAATCAAGAACAAACAATTTGACATATTCTAGTGCATTATCAGAACCATGGGTACGGAACTTGGATCGATTAATTTATCTATATCGAGATGAGGAGTTAATCACCTGAGCAATTATGGTAATATCAAGAGCAGAACTGCCAAACGTCATGACACTGGTACTTGTGACTGTCAGATGAAGTTTCTCTATCTCACTGACTGTTTTTTCTATCACTCCTGTTGTTTTCTCACAGTGAACTCTTATGAGGACGTTTCTATCACAAAATCTAGCTTCAATTTCTGGTAATGGCTCCTCACGCGGATCACCAGAGTCCGAAGAACAATCTCCTTCATCAGCTAATAATTGAGTTTTCTTCACAACCACCACAGATTCCACGCTCCTCCTTCTGCTCTGTTCCTCTTCAAGGACCCTCACTCTCTCTTGCAATTGCTTCAAGTACTTTATAGCATCCCCAAGAACAGAAGCCTTGTCCGTCTGTTTGAAGCAAACAATTAACTAAGATCAAAATTTTCCATTATAAGCTTAAGTTATGATAACATTTCTGTGTCCTCAGAAGGAAGAGATCAGAATTTTGCGGCTAGATATAACTGACTAGAACTTCATGCATAGATCTCTTCAGATACTTTAAGAAAAAGTCCAATGAGCATGTCGGTCAGAAACTGTGTTTCTTTGATGTTAGACTGGAACATTTGTTACACGTTATATATGGTATTTAAGTAATCTGATGAATCTTAAACATGTTGGACAAGCAAGGCAGAGACCAGTGAACTCAGAATCTTAAAAGGTACACTAACATCATCTTCTTATACCTTTTTAAGGCCGGGGACAAGAGCAGATAGAGCAATGAAGCGCTGGCTGAGCTTTTCTCGCCGCTTTCTTTCAGCAATAATGTGGTCTTGAGGTTGAGAAAGTTTAGGACTTGTTCCAACATTCTTTCTGGCATCTTGGCTGGCATTGAAGACAAAGTTCTGATTTCCCAAGGATCCATGAGAGGCCAACATGTCTGAAAGGATTGTGCCGTTGATTTCAGGACATGGTATCTGCACCTTAGGCTTTAATGTCCCCAATTGACTTATGTAACTTGAATTGACAAAGGAAAGAAGATTGGAACAAGAATCATAGTCTGTGTCTAATATCTGATTCTGATCACTAGTGTTGGGGCTCCAATTGTTGGGTTTCAGGTGTTTCTGGGGCCTTTCAATGCCAGAAAGGGTATCTGCCATGGAAGTTTTGGGGTTGAACCTTGTTGGGTTAGAGAATGAATGTTGTTCTAAGGTCTCTCCAAAAGCAGCATCAAGGGGCAGTAAGCTTGGATCATCCAGAGAGTTCAAGTGCCATTGATGAAGAAAGGTAGGATCCTCCACTATTACCTGCTTAAAAATAAAACACTAATTCCTCAGCAAAACTTTCAAAATCTCCATAAACAAATCTTTCTTTGTCTTTTTTCATTAATCAGTCTTCAATCAAAAGAAGACCAGATTCATGTCACCAAGTGATTCCAAATCAACATGCACAATATATAACCACTAGCTTATTTTCAGAGAACAGTTCAGCAGAAGAGCTAAGACCCGGGTGCGGGCCTTACCTGTTCAGGCAACGTTGTCACAGATGAAATATCCATAGAGAAAACTTCCTTCTTCAACCAAGAAGAGCTCAAAGCTTTTATCCTGTAAGAGGGACAACCTTAAATAGGTCAATTTTGTGCTAATAATTCATCATCTGATATAAATATCCTTTAGACAAGCATTAAGCCAAACACATGGCAGCGAAAGCCCCACACAGACACACAAATCTACAATTCCACATCAATATATGTTACTCGTGTTAACATACTCACAGATCTCAGTTATTGAAATTGATAAATAAGCTGAGGTAACTAAGAAGAAGAAGAAGAACTCAGGATTCAAGAAATGAATACCCTTTTGTCCGATCCCACTGAAAAGTGTCTGTCTGTATATGTCCCAATTTATAACAGTAGCAATAAGTATCTAAGAGTGTTGATGTGAATAGGCGTAGACAGCCTTAGATGACTAATTTTTTAAAGGAAAAATTGGAGATAAATCCCTTATTACAAATTTAATTGGCAAATGGTCTCTAAGATGATTGATTGCACAAGAGAAGATTAGTTACACATAAAGGAAGATAAGTTGCATAAAGGGAAAATGGTTTGCACAAAACATTAGTTGGATATAAAGGATTGGTTTGCATACAAAGAAGATGACTTACACATGAGAGAATTTTATTTGCGAAAAAAAAAATTGAGTTGCACATCGCACACAAAGAAAGATAAATGGCACCAAAAAAAAAAGTTAAGTTGTACAAAGTCTTTAGCTCCCATTTGGTAATTAAATTTTTAACAAGGGAATATCTCCAATTTTTCCTTTTTTTTTTTTTTTTAATGAAGATGAATGACGCAGAACGTTTTTAAATATTTAGGGGGGTGGCTTCAAGCTGACAAATTAATCTCTACACGTTTTTGTTGTTATTAGGACTTTTGAAGTTCTTCTTCTAATAACCCACCAACCTGCCATTGAAATTTTGATCAAGCTTTTAGTAAATGAAGCTTACATCAATCCAGCATGTGGCCCCTCACCATGTCTCCAGCCTTGAGGGAATTTTGCATTGTTATTATTAGGTAACTTTATTTTTGAAAAAATAAACTGTCAATGTGTTTTTATTCTCAGATTAAATTTCCTTTTCAAGGACAGAATTTTCAAACAGTATATAATATAATCTTCGTCTGATCAATAGATCATTATAAGAATATTACTACCTCTGTTTCAATGTAATTGTTGTTTAAGGTTATGCCACACATTAAAATGGTTATCAAATAGTCTGGATTATAGCAAAATCTAGTGGGAACCAGCTACAATAACTTCTTATCAATGAGTTATTTATAAACAGACATTTATATTTTTATTAATGAAGTTTAAACTAATTAAACAAGAAATACTCTCTCCGATTTAAAATGTTGGTTGAGGGGTTTGCCTTCATATTTAATCTAAGACCTCAATCTCTTACTCCTTTGATCCTATTTATAAGGCAGAAAGAGAAGGTGTTTTTTGGTTCTATTTATAAGTCATTTCATTAAATTTTTAGCATAAATATACTATTTTGTCATTCATTTATTACAGTGTAGATAGTTATTCTTTTGACATGTGTATATATTACATGGAGGTAAAGTTAGAAAGTTGTTATATTTTAATAAAGAGTTAATGCAGTTTAATATTTTCTTTGGTCTGTGTGAAACATATTGAAAGTGTCTTATAAATAGGATCAAAAAAGTATCTTTTAAATTTATAACTGTTTTTCCAAACAATTTTATTGATCGCATATATTATAGGGATTTAAATGAGTATTTTAGAAAAATCAACAAATATTTTTATAAATAACCAACCTAACAAACAAATTATTTATCTAGTTAGTGCATTTAAACTGAAAAGAGTAAATAAGTGATAATTGATTGAGAAAACCAAAAACTTAGCCATTATTTCTACCCAATCACTTTATGAGCCTGTCTTGCTCTCAACAATCTCCCATTTTCTTGGTCCAAGAAGATCAAATCAAATCACACCCAATGAATAACTCACCAATGAGAGCAGACTAGCCAACCCATCACCACCATCCATCCGTTCATCAAATTAAAACAAAACAGAGCAAGTCAATGAGATAATATGAGACTGTTAAGTGTTGGTTGGTTGTCATTTTCCGATAATGTGAATAATTAAGCCTCAGTCTCCACAGTTTGCCTCACTTTTAGGTGAATGTTACTCAATTTCCATTGACCCTTCAAGTCCTCAGCCAATTCCCAAGTGGCATGTGTTCACTATAACTTGTGGTCCGGCCACTCAACCGCCTTATTAAAGGCTCCGCACATGTAATAAAACAAACGTCATATCCTTTTTTTATTTCAAGCTTATTTATTGCAGGAGTTTTTGGGATTTATTCAATTTTTTTTTTAGAGGAAGAGGAATTGAGGGGTAATATCTTTTTTGTGTTGAACTATTGTACTAAGAATTTTACTATTGAAGGAGTGTTTAGATAAAAACTAAACCATAATTTTAAAAGTGATTTTACGGTATACAAAATAAATATAGAAGGAATTTATTTCGATTTGTGAAAAAGTGCTTTTTAGAAGCACTTCTCATGTCATTCAAACACCTTTTAAATTCTTTGAAACTTTGAGCACAAATATCAAAATTATTTTAATTTTATTTCTCTGGCTTGCGGGTCTGATTTTCTTTCTCGTCAGAAAATATACTTTAGAACGATAACAAAACCTGGGCAAATGGTAAAAGTTAACATCTCAAATTGGAATTTGAGGTATTGATTTAATTAAATGATCCAATGTTATTTAATTGAGTCGGGTTGGGCGTGTATAAACTTCAAAAGAATCGGAAAAATGATAAAAATAAAATACAAAATGATTTGAGTTATTATATTTAATAATTTTTGTCTGAAATTAAATGTATAATTTTTGTCTAAAAATTTAAAGAGAAGCTTATTAATAATAATTTTTGCACACTCTACCTAGTCACACCGAAAATGATTTTTTTCCTAACTATCCTTTTCCTCTTTTTGTTTGGTTCGATTCCTAACCATCTTTGACCAAACATGAATCAGCCGAGGTTCCTCCTAGACATTCGGAACACTCAAATTATACAAATTTGGAACTCTATTCTCTTCCTGAAAAGTCGGAGATGGGGTGGCTTTCAGGAAATTGATTTGTTTATGATATGCCACTTGTTACCCACACTCGCTCGTGCTTATGCGAGCACGCACATCTATGTAGCTGTATCGTACAAAATCCTTGAAACCTTGCAAAACTAAAATTTAAGAAAGTAACATATCTGGTCCTAATTATAAGATCTTATTTGTTAACTACAAATAGAATTTTATAATTCGGACCACATATGGTATAAAATTATCATTGTGTTCTAAAGATAAGTAGATTATTTATACATGGTTTTCATTCGAAAATTTTTATATAATTTAGCTCCCACGCACATATGCACATAATATGTGAGTGTGACGCACGCATTTTTCATCACGTTACAAGACACAAAGCAATGGGCTACAAGCATGACGGCGAGAAAGACAACACCGTTCCAATTCTTCCACTCAATGCATTTTTTAATACCACCTCTTAAGTTAATTGACTAATTTAAATAAATTAAAAAAATTTATTAAGTTAGTTATTTGTAATAAATGTGTTTTTCTCCTTTTAAAATATCCTTACTAATCATATGTATTAGTAAAAACTACTACTACTACCTCCGATCCTTAATATAAGACCCTGTTTTACTTTTATTTTCGTCATAAATATAAGACCCCAATCCATTTTGTCTCTCATATTTACTCAATTTTTTCCAAGATAGTCCTTCTAATAATTATAGTTATAGTCAATACACTTTATTAGCAAGGATATTTTAGGAGAGAGAACATCTATTTAAGACAAATAACTAACTCAACTTACTTCCTTAATCTCCTCAAATTAGTCAACTGGCTCTTATAATTAGGACCGGAGGTAGTATTTGATAGAACATTTAACATGAGTAACTATTATAAGGACTATGTTAAAAAAATAAATAAATATGATAGCAAAATGAATTCGGATATTATATTTGAAACCAAATTGAATATCAAACTAATTTTTATATTAAAAGCCGAAGTAGTACTATCTTATTCAGAAATCATGATACTCTAATTATATATATTACTTCTGATCCTTAATATAAGAGTTAGTTAACTAATTGGTATAGATTAAAATAATTAGTTAAGTTGATTATTTGTAACAAATGTGCTGTCTTTTTTAAAATATTCTTACTAATCAAGTATATTAGCTAGAAATTCCATCTCTACAAGGACTATTTTTTTTAAAAAAAGATAAATATAAGATACAAAGTAAATTTGAGTGTTATATTTTTGAGACCAAAATAAAAATTCAACTAGCTCTTATATTAGGTAGCAGAGGTAATATATTATCAACAAGGTTACCTTTCTCGCTGGCTACTATACAATGCAAATTGGATCCCACACCGACCACAAGACCACAAGACTCAGATAAGAGAGAGAGACAAAGGAGATATGTAAAACTTAGAAAAAACAGAGAAATGGCTGTGCCTGCCAATTACGACCTCACTCCATTGGATCAGAGGTGATACAAGTCAAGTTGTGTATTTTAGCTAGGACACGTGTTAATTCCATAGCATAACAGAATATTAGTTAATAAATGGAATTAGAAGCATAAATCTCCGTTAAGATGTATTGGAGAGGTTGTTGAATAATATACTCCCACCCACGTGTTCCCTAATTATTGAAAGCGAACACAGCAGCTTTGAAGTGAAGAGAAGAATTTTGAGGGAAAAACGGAAGCTTCCACCAGCCATTCTTCGCATTGGCTCATACGGGTCATTTGTCTTCAATTGCAAACAATCCTTCCATGAGATTTCAATAATTAGAAGTCATCATTTGTCATGAATGACTTTAAAAGATCGTCATTTTCCCTTCTCCCAAGCTCACTTTGCACAGTAACTTTCCACCAATTATTTTTTTAATGGATGAGAGAACCTCAGTGAGGAGAGAAAAATAGCAGTATCAAGATAAATGCACAACGGGCAAAATCAGTATTAATGAAAAAGTTATGGGTCTAACTCATTCC